AGCTTCAGTTCTTCTTTAAGTATCTGCCCTTGGGACCTAGAGCTGGTAGTGTTTGGTACGTAGTTTTCTTATCCCAGAAAAACGTAAAATAATAAACACTGACTGCCATGCCTTGATCCCTAACCTTAAAGTGACATTAAAGCAAGAACCCCCCCCCCCCCCATACTGCATTCACTGTCAGCGGTGCTCTCCTCCTCTCCCCTCCGACAATCTGTGCTGCGCATGCGCCCACCCACACTTCCTCCTTCACAGCATTCGGGAGCCAGGACTTCTGCAGCATGAGTGAGTGCCACTGACACAGGTGAGTTTGTTGGTATTTGCCACCTTTTTTTTGTTTTTTAATGTTGGGGCATATATCTACTGCTTACTGGCAGTAAATATATGCCAAAAAAAGAGACTTTAATTATTTAAATGTGCTATATACATTTTTATGTTTACATATTTCATTTTGAATAAGTATCCTTTTCCGGCTACTCACTAACAGACCCTCTATAGACATGTCCTGCTTCACCCATAGATGGCTAGAACTCACCTCCTTATGTGGACTTTATAATGCAAATAGGATGTCAACGCACATTGCCCACTAAGGGGTTAAATATTGGATCAGAGGCCACAGCTCATTCCAAGTATGCTTATCCATGGGAATAGAACGCAAGACAGTACATAGCGCTTTCTGTATGGTAAACTGTTATAAAAGGTCAAAAACAGTACATTTATAAGTCCATATACTTAATTCTGGCACTTGAAAAGTATTACTAGCTATACTTAGACATCAGCATTCCATAATGTGATCAGTAACTCAGCATTGAGTTAATCTACAACTCCACCACCCAGTGTACTTGAATCACCACTGATCACGGGGGAGACCGCACACGGCATCATAATGCTAACAGTGATGTGTGCGGTCTCTCTAGCTGTGAGGACGATCTGTGGTATACGCACTTTGTGCAATTTTATGAGCTGGTTTTTATCTCTTCATAACTTTTTAATAAACTTGTCCATTTAGCACTTGCAAACTTGTCCATCTGGTATTTTCACCATTTCGGGTTTGTTTTTCACATATGATATTCTGTGTCCAGCGTCCGCTTTATTGGTGAGAGTCTTTGGTCCTTGGTGGGAGCAGGGTATTACCAATGCACTGGAGTTCTACTAAGGGGAGCGCGGTCCTGTGTCAAGCGGGGAGGCATTTTTTTTATGCAGAGGGAGCAGGGTGCCTTGCATCTCTCATCTTCTCTCACCTTGACTATTACAACACCCTTCTTGTTAGCCTACCTTTACACAGGCTTTTCTACCTTCACCCTACCATGAATGCTGCTGCAGTGGCTGCCACCCCTTTCTGCCAGTGCCCCCTCTGGCTTTTAATAGCCCAATGTATAAAATTTAAAAAACTAACAACATTCAAAGACATCCACAACTCTGCCCCCGCCCCCCCACTATATAACCAACCCCATCTTAAAATAACAGTTACCTACCAAGCCTTTCTGCTCTCTAGCTACAATGTCGCCTTCTCCCATACATGCCTCCAGGACTTCTCCAGAGCTTCTCACA